CTGTCCCTCAGGCGGCCACTAAAAGTGCTTCCTATTTCAGTGCTACATTGTGTGCAGGACCTACATTCAGCATCTCCATGTTCTGCACCCCATAGAGATGCATTGAATTTGCACATTTTTGCAGCACATACACAATAGTCTCCCCATGCTTTCCTATGGAAAATCATTGGATTAACTAAGATCATCAAAATTAATTATCTCAGCCATGGCGGCATGGCCAGTCATGTTGAGATCAGAGCGGCGATTGATGTGAAAAAGTAAGTTAAATACATTTCTGAGGGGGGCCGAAAACCTAAAAATTTAGTCCACTACTATAGCGTTAGGGATACATGTTTGTATTTCTAACACTATGGTGTTCCTTTAAGTGCTTTTCAATTTTGCCAAAAACTAGGAAAAAAAGTATTTACTGATGTTGCATTTCCTGTTTTTCTTTTGTATACAACTATGCATACTACAGTTGTATTGTTCAATAAAGGCAAAATGAGGTAGACATAAAAATATACAAAAGTATATAGAAAAAATATATAACGTTTTGGTAGTACATTAGGAAACCAAAATCTACATTAAATCCTTCATCTATGGTGTTGAAATATTCAATAATTTTTATTTCAATTGTTTTCCGTTTAAAATTCCTTTTAACACCTTAAAGACCAAGGCATTTTTGCCATCCATTCATACTACAATTTCCCTCTTTTATTTTAAATGCACCCTTACATATTATTTATCTTTTTTTTTTTTTTTTTTTTGACAATTTTTAATAGTTTTGGAGTACAGAAAAAAAAGGGGGTGGGGTTGTGTGAAGGGGGAAACAGTCCCATATCCATTCAAAATGTGCATGTTGTTATACAATATACATATTGGTACATTGGTTTTACAATCTCTCAGATATTTCAGGTATATTGGTCAGTCTCAACCACCCCTATAGCACCCAGTTTGAGTGCATGAGTAGTGTGTGGGAGGTGTGCCTACAATCAGTAGTAGATAGCTCATTGGGAAGTAGCTCATTAAATTGGTGTTCCGTAGTGGAATAGCCACTACTTAGTTGTTGCAGGAGTAGGATGGTTCTGGGAGGGGAAGAGCGGGGAGTGGGGGGAGGGGGCGGGGAGTGGGTTTCCCAGCTAGGAACAATCCTGTTTGGCCTTTAATATTTCCTTTTGTTGAGATGTTGGTAGAGTGAGCATAGTCGGGTGTAGCTTCAGGGTGTGCTAGGCCCTATGGCTGGGCGTCTGAGCTGCAGTTCTAAGTGTTATTGTGTTTTTTGTTTTCCCAGTGGAAATTCCTTGTTCTTTGGTGACAGCGGGTGGGTTTAGTTCCGAACTAGGAGGTCCTGCTGAGGGGTTTTTGTGGGCTCTTCTGGCTATTGTCTCATAGTGTTTGTTGGTGTCCATGGCTGTGATGCATTGCCCTATTGTGGGGGGAGAATTTTGTTTCCACTGTCTGCTAATCACTGTAAGGACTGCTGTGAGGATGTGGTATAATAAGTACTTCTGGCTCTTTTGGATTTGTTTTGGTAGCAGCAGAAGTAGAAATGTTTCATGTAAGAAGGGTAGATCCACTTTCGTGCATTCTTGTGCCATAGTAGCAACATCTTGCCAGTATTTGCTGAGTCTAGGGCAGTGCCACCAGGTGTGGATCATGGTGCCTTTGTCCTCTTGACATCTCCAGCAGATATCAGAGGTGTTAGGGAAGCTCTGTTTGAGGCAAGTACCACCGGTAGAGAATTTTCCTGGAGAGTTCGATATGGGACATGCATAGTGCCATTGGTCTATGGGCTAGAAATATGTTGTTTCATTGTGCATGCATGAGTGTGTGTTTAATATCCCTTTCCCAGGCTGATTTAAAGGAGAGAGAGTTTGGGCTGGTCAGAGAATGTTCTGCGGGATATGTTGTGAAGATGAGTTTTTTTGGGGTGGTTTTAGTTTTAGACAGATTTTTTCAGCTTCAGATATTTGTGGGCTTTGGGAGTGTATTTTGGTGACTTTGGATTGTAGTGCCATCCACGATTGCAATTGCTTCTAGTGATAGAGCTAGCGAGGTTGTAGTCGTTTAGTCCATTTTTTTGCGGTATCAAGCGTGAGCAAGGTCGTAGGCAGCATGGTGTTTTGCTTTGACCTTTGTGACTTTGGCAGCCATGCCAGCACAGGCAGGGGGAAGTCTTTTGTGTAAGTCCTTTCTATTTCAGTCCAGGCAAGTGGTTTAGGGGGATAAAATGCGGGGGGGCTATATGAGCTGCTCAGTAATATCCCTTCACGTCCGGCATTCTCATCTTGCCTTGGGAGAATAATCTGTACAGTGTTGTTTTGGCTACTTTTGGTCTGATATGTCCTCATATGAACATGTTAAGGAGTTTTTGCATGTTCTGCAGATATGTATTGGGTAGTTCAGAACACGGGAGAAGAATAATTTTGACTGCGTCTATCCTCCCAGCCCAGGATAGAAACTTCCCTGTCCACCCCTGGGTGATGTTCTTTAGTTCGTTGATTAATTTTAGATAGTTTGCCTTAAACAGCGTGTGTATGAGGGGTGTGTAGGAAGAGTGTGTATGGTAGGAATTTTATATGATCGTGTCTCCAGTCATAGTTGAAGTTATGTTGTAGGTGTGCTATTTTTGTTTAGGGATATTGACACCTAAGACTAACGGTTTTGCCATGTTAAGATTGTAGTAGGAGCATTTGCTGTATTGGGCAAGGATTTCATGGAAGTTTGGCAGGGATATGTGTGGTTGTTCTAGTGATAAGAGGATATCATCAGCAAATAGTGTTAATTTGAACTCATGTCCTTTGAGAGTGACACCATGTATATTTGGGTTCTCTCTTATCATTTGGGTTAATGGCTCCAGTGCCAAGATCTCAAGTAGAGGGGAGAGCGGACACCTCTGTCTGGAGCCATTGGAGATGGTGAAATGTCGGGATATGAAGCCCCTATTCGTGCTGTCGGGCTGGAGTAAAGAGCTGTGATTAGTGATGAGAATTGGGGTGGGAATCCAAATTTCTGAAGGACTGCGAGGAGGAAGGGCCAATGGAGCCTGTCGAAAACCTTTTTACGCATCTAATGACAACAGTACGCTTGGGTCCCCCAACCCGCACATCCCATACAGGAGGTCCAAAATCTTCCAAGTGACGTCCGCACCCTGCCTACCTCCCACGAAGCCCACCTGGTCCTCTTGGATCAGGGATTGCATAATAGGGGCCAATCTGTTTGAGAATATTTTTTATATGAGTTTGACGTCTGTGTTCAATAACGAAATGGGTCGCAAGTTTTGGCTTCTTGTTAAGGGCTTTTCAGGTTTTGGGAGGGTGGCAACATGTGCCATTAACATTTTGGGTGGCATGTGTCCTGTCTGTAGTGGGGAGCCAAGAGATTCCCAGAAATAGTGTTGGCGAGTAATCTATTTTGTATGGGTTTTGAATGTGAGGAATTTTACATATTGTGGTAGTTGGTCAGTTAGGTATCTGGGCAGAATTGATGACACAGCTGTTTCTGGGTGCTGGAGCTGGCATGGGATTGGTTGAAAGTTGCAATCAGAAAAAGAACAGGAAACTGCAACAGTATAAAAAAAGCAGCACAAGTTTAATCCTGTCAGAGTGGACTGAAGCAGGAACGGTGCGGACGGACCCCAGCCCCCGCTCCCTTTACTTTTATTTAATTGTCATCGTGTTATGAAGCAATGGGGCAAATGTCATCCTCAGGGTCAAGTTCTAAGGACGGATATGGTGGTAAATGGTTTTAAATAAAAGGCGATCAGGTTAGTTATGAATTACTGGCAATATGATGGTAAATAAAGTTAAAGGACCACTCTAGGCACCCAGACCACTTCAGCTTAATGAAGTGGTCTGGGTGCCAGGTCCTTCTAGGGTTAACCCATTTTTTCATAATTATAGCAGTTTCAGAGAAACTGCTATAATTATGAATGGGTTAAGCCTTCCCCCTAATCCTCTAGTGGCTGTCTCATTGACAGCCACTAGAGGCGCTTGCGTGCTTCTCACTGTGATTTTCACAGTGAGAGCACGCAAGCGTCCATAGGAAAGCATTGTAAATGCTTTCCTATGCGCGGGCTGATGCGCGCATTCAGCCAGGAGGAGGCGGATCGGAGGCGAGGAGGAGAGCTCTCCGCCCAGCTGGAAAAAGGTAAGTTTTAACCCCTTTCCCCCTTCCAGAGCCGGGCGGGAGGGGGTCCCTGAGGGTGGGGGCACCCTCAGGGCACTATAGTGCCAGGAAAACGAGTATGTTTTCCTGGCACTATAGTGGTCCTTTAAAGGTTTTAGACTGACTGGCTATTTGGTGGTTAATAAAGTTAAAAGTTTTAAAAATGGTGAACTATATGTTATATGGGTTTGGCTATGGTTACAAATTTATGGTTGTAAGACCCTTGAGATTTGCATAACCACCACGGCCAAGCCCACTGAAAAGTAATTATCATTATATAGCGCCAACTAATTACGCAGCGCTTTACAATATTATGAAAGAGATATATTTACAATAAATGAGACAATTACGCAGTGACACAGGAACAATTGGTAGATGAGGGCCCTGCTCAAATGAGCTTACAGTCTAGAGGCTTTAATTAAACGTTGTCTGTGTTATTGTGTGGTCTCATTTTATTTATACAAATATTGCCTACCATACATAAAACACTGCAAGGAGTGATATACAGTTTTATTTGTTATTTTCAAATTGTACAGTGTGGGAGATATAAAGCGAAGTTACAATGTTTACATAACACTGGTTCAACAGACAATCAACAATGGAAGTGAATTGGCATGTCACAGAGGTTGTCATCCCAAGTGTGTTATAGAGGGCAAAGTCATATATGCACAGTGTCAGGTGTGGTGCAAGGCAATTTTGTGTACATCTCTGTGGTCTGCCAATATAAAAGAAAAAGAAAAACAGGAGAGGAAAAGAAAACAAACATTTCCTCAGACTTTGTACATTACGTAACATATGGATGTAGAGGGAGGGGAGTAGGGAGGGGTGTGGTTGAGGTCCCTGCAGTATAGGTGAGGGTAGATTCTGTCGCTGTGCCTCCGTAGTGGAATCTGGCATATTGTCCAGCGGACTTCAGCTTGCTTGATTATGGTCCGTTGTGGAGTAGGTGTCATGGGTGAGTGTCTGACCTGCGTACTGGTCGTGCTGCGATATGCAAGCAGGGATTCCTTATGTTTTTGAGGTGTCAGTTTTCTTGGTTTCCCGTGGTAGATAGGAATAGTCTGTATGGATCAGGTGGTTAAATGTGTTAGTGTGGGTTGGGAGGCCTCTTGGAGTGGGTCGTAGGAAGGGCAGGTGGGGGCGGGTATCGAGGAGAGATATCCAGGTGCTGATAGTGTGAAGAAGTGTGAAAAGAGAAGTAGGAAAAGAGAAGAAAAAAAAAGTAGGGGGGGAGGAGTGGGAGGGGGTGGGGAGGGTAGACAGAGGAGTGGGTTAGAAGTCATGGTGCAGTTCAAGTGGTCTTGGTTGGATATTCTCTTTCTGTGTGTTGGTGGTGATATACAGTTTAAAAGCGAAAACTTTACAAAATACGGCATGGCGAGATTACAATTTATTACAACAATAGTACAGGTAGTCACAGAATCCAAAACTGCTACACAATAGTACATATTTGTAGAAAGTACATCCTGCAGGCTATGCAACTAAGAGCATTTTGGCATTTTTCATTTAACTGGTTTATGAAAAATCTAGGTCAAATTTGTTATTTTTTTTGTGTATTTTTTCCACACATGCTTTATTTTGGGGGAATTCACAGACCACGCATGTCCCATCACAGCAAACCCCATATGTTTATTTTGCTACTGTTGTCGAGAACAATGATACCCAAAAGATATATCTTTTCCCCTAATTCTACATGGAGAATTTTATTCAACCCATAATCCAACCTATAATATAGCCCATATTCCTACCCCTAATCCATCCCATAATTCGACGCTAGTCCAACTCGTAATTTAAACCATAATCCTACCTATAATCCCAGTCGCAATCCCACCTCTCAAGGGATTCCCTCTGCTCTGTGAGCCCTCTGTTCATTGTGATTGCAGCATGAAAGGGAGAGATCAGCACTGATCCTGCTGTAGGAGGAATGCATATAGACTTCACCAGGTCATTTCAGACCCTGGGGGCCTCCCTGAAACTTGGAGACACTGTGCCAGGCTGAGGGTGCAAAAATAAGTTTTAAATTTACTACAGTAGAGCGCGGCATTTGTGGGCCATGAGCAATGCACACCTGAGAGCTGCTCATAGGCCTCCTGTCAGTCTTGAGCCACTAACTGTGGCCCCAACTGACAGCCGGGACTTCCAGGTATCAAAAAAAATACCTGGGGTTCCCCCATATTTTTTTTTTTAAAACATTGGAGACTGTGGGCAATGAAGGAAATACCACAGTTGAGCAAGATTGTTATGAGCAGCACTCCCTTTGAGTGCTGCTCATCGTTCATATCTCATTGAGGGGTAACTAACTGTGGCCCCAGCTGACAGAGGGATCCCTGAGATTTAACCCCTGCTGGTACCTTTATTGCATAATGTTCTATGCCAGGGGTAGGCAACCTTTTAGCAGCACTGTGCCGATATAGGATTGTGATGTCCCGTAGCGTGCCGGTCCTATTTTTTTTTAACTCCTTAAGGACACATGACGTGTTACATGTCACGATTCCCTTTTATTCCAGAAGTTTGGTCCTTAAGGGGTTAAATTGAGGTGTGTATGCTGCCGTATTCTGCTTGTGTTATTTAAACTGTGTTACGGTACACCCCGGTATAAGAGGGGTTAATACCGCTGAAGACGTTCCCTTTCTGAATGAAGAAGCAGCTAACAGCAGTTCCAATTAGCTGAACAGGAACCATACGAAATCCTTCACGAACCAAACAGCCGAACTAGTAAATCATACGAATCCAATACCCCCAAGTACGAGACCAAGCTCCGTATTGAGAGTTAAGCAGAGATCTTTTTTATTGAGGGCTACCTGCCCGGTATTTATGCAGGTCTCCCACCTGGTGGACACTCCCCTAGGGGACCAGATGGGAGACTGGGACAATGTGGATGCAGTAGCCAAGTACAAGCATAAACACTCTCCTTTGATGTAGATAAACCCTCCTCTCTATCCTGTAGATAATTGGGAAGTAATCCAATTATCTCCATGGATAGAGGCCAAACTCCATTTTGTACCTGAACATAAAAATACAATAAAATCAATAACTTTACATTATACGAACAGAATCCCCACATTCAACGTATCCCCAGATAGCTGGGATCTGAGCACACATTATTACCGAATGCCGCTCAGATACTATGCATACAGTTCAATCGCCATGGAGCCAAAGTCTTTCGCTATATGAACGGGCTACATGGGATGGCTATCTGGGGTGCGTCTATTCGTGCTGGAAAGTGCCGAACGGTCCGACGTTCGTGTGCTGGATGGCAGAGAAGGGAGGTCAGTGGCTTCAGCGGTGTACGTGCAAAATAGTGTCTGTTTTCAGTTTCATAGTTTTGGTGCCGAACACCGCTGGCCGTTCGGGACTCTAAAATAGCCGCCGCCACGTGGGAGGTACATGAACAGCGACCTCCCAACGTTCACCAATTAAGCTGCGGTTAACCGAAGGATAGACGAAGGAAACAAAATAGAGCATAGTTCCAAGACAGAGGGGTCTGTCACATACTGTAATTGCTTTGTATTGTTGTATTTGTGCTTATATGAGCTATTATATTGTATATGTTCAGGAGTAGTTTGTGGTATTGTGTATGATACATATGAATGTGGGCTGTGTATGGTGGCTGCTTGTGGCATTGTGTGTGTGGATGGATATGTCACATTGTGTGTTTGGTAGTGTGTGTGTGTGGGGCTGTATGGGGTATTGCATGTGCAAGGCTGCATGTGGGGTTTTGTGCATGTATGTGGATTGTTAGCGGGTTACGTTTGTGCGGATTGTGTGTATGTTTGTTTGTGGGCTGTTCATATTATTTGTATGAGGGGAGGGTTATTGTGCATTTCTGTGTATATCTAGCAGTGTGGGTGGCTTCCCTGGGTTCCAGTGGGGACCAAGCTGGCCAGGTACAGCTCAAGGACAGGAGCTGCAACAGCAGCTGCAGGCTGCTCTACTACATTGTAGATTCCCATTCACAAGTGTTGGAAGGAAGTGACCTGCAATGCATAATTTGAGGCTTGTCCTTCACCAACTTTTCGTATTAGCAGATATCTGAAGTTTCACTGGGACTCCTGATAGGCCAGAGCCTGTTTGGCTGTAGCAGCCTTGAGTGTCGTGCAAAGACACCTGGAGTGCCGTAGGTTGCCTACCCCTCTCTATGCTATCACTGGACATTAGAGACCTGCACTGCATGACAGCGCTGACTGTCATGTGGTCTTAACTCCTTCACTACCAAGCAATTTGCAAAAAAACAAAAGCAGAATTAGAGTATTTTGGGTGTCCTGGAAAGTAATGTGTAAATGTATTTTTCATTTCAGTATGCATAGAAAGCACATTATTAAATGGAAACAAACAAAAATTGTGGTTTCAAATCAAATAATGAAGAAACAGGCAAGGAAACTGTTTTGTAAATAAATATACATATTGTGTAATTATAATATATGTCACATTGCCATGATATGACCCATACACATATCACCCTCATTGCAGCCACATTGCTTCTTTGGACATAAACATACTAATACATGCGCGCACACACACACACATATATATATATATATATATATACACATACATACACACACACACACTGGTACATGCACGTATTTACACTCTGAAACATGCACACAGATAAGCACACATGTATCTGTGAATCACTGATACAACTGCCAGAAGGACAGACACACAGATATTCACTGCTGCCACAAAGACAAGTACACTCTTTGTATTCTCTGGTTTTTCATATCAGAACATTAAAACAATCACCTGTCCCTTGGCAGGTCTTAAAATTAGGTAAATACCTCAGGTGAACAAAGCCACATGACATTGTACTGTGTTATAATTTAGCAAAGATAAAGCCAAAATGGAGAAGTTGTGTGTGACAAACTAAGTACACCTTATGATTCAATAGCTTGCAGAACCTTTAGCAACAATAACTTTAAATAGTAATTCTCTGTATGACTATCACATTGTTGTGGAAGACTTTTGGTCCACTCTTCTTAACGTTGTATAGTGTCGTCTGGTACCACCGCCAGTACATAAAGGGTTAAAAAACAAAAACAAAAACAAAAAACACCCTTTAATCACCTGAGTCCAGAGCCGAGACCTGAACTTTGTTGGGTCCATTGCAGCACCTTGATTCATTTCTTTTTCAGCCATTCTGTTGAGACTGTAGCCATCTCCTCCAATGAGCCATCAGAATGTAGCAGCTCTGAGTAGAAGAGCCGCTTCAGAGGGAGACTGTATTCGGCGGCTCACAGCTTGGAGGTTTTTGTGCTGCCAAGTTGTGAGTTTCAGGACTGAATATAGGTATAATTTGCAAGTGAAATTAGTTTGCAATAAACTATTTGCATTAGTGTATACACCATTGCAGGGTATAAATGCATACTCAGGCAACCTTTCATACCCACTTCCAAGAAATATGACAGGGAGGCCAGGAGTCTGCAGCTGTCAGTTTGGTACTACCGGCATCTCCAAACTCTTGCATCTTGTTTTAAACAAGAACCCATTGACTCAAACTTAATTGAAGTTTAAAAAAAAAAAACAAAAAAAACAAACACTTTTACCCCTTCCTTGTCAGAATAGTGATAGCTGGTAAGTTCAGAGATTGAATAACTCTCAGAAGTACAGAGATTAATGTGACAATATCTCCAAATTAGAGCAGATAGTGCTAAAAGAATTTACCAATGGTACCAACTTAATCAAACCTTTCGACAAGGGAGGAAATATTGCGCTCATGTCTTATATCAATGTGTATGGATCACCTTTGTAATTCAGATGGATATGAGGTGCTCAAATATGGTCCCACTGAAAAAGTTAAGGAAACTTTTAACAGAGTCCTGTACTGAAAAATTGATCTCTTGGAAGGAATTTACATTCAGGTTCTAAAAGATATCAACCAAGGCAACATTTTACCATTTGTGGACTTCCGGCAGAACCAAAAGTCCAGTTGTCTCAGGAAAGGGATGTATGAGAACTGCAGCATCTTTGGACAAGATTCTATGCCCCCATCATACATTCAGGACACCCAATCTGCCATAAATTGTCAAATCTTAAGTGTATTGAGAGATCACGTTTAGCCAGTTTGGATGTAGTAACACTTTACAACATTCCCATAGGGCTGCACTTGAAGCTTGCAGAGGTCTGCTACTCCAGTCTTCCTTATACTCTAACAATCTGGCATTTTATTGTAAGTTTACTGGATTTCATCTTAAGACAACTATTTAGTTTATTTACAAAGTGAGAATTACATGGGCACTTGTGTTCCCAAACAGGCCAACATGTTTTTGGCATGTGGGAGCAGAACTACATCTACCATTCACCCACTTATTACAGGTTGCTTGGCATATCAATAATGATGTAATCTACATGTGGCAGTGAGGAGATTCTTTCACAATTGGGTGACAGTCCTGAATAATGAGGGCCTCACTGAAATCAGTATTTGTCAATAAACCGATCACATTTTTGGATTTCAGCATTGCCATTGATGAGAGCACAACTAAGCGGTTCAGAAAGACGGCAAACCATTTGAGCTGGAATATATTTCACTTCCAAATGTGGCATATCATACAGGTAATTGGAGGGCACAGAGAAACTGTTCAGAGACTAGTATTTCCTTAAGGATGCTGCAGTTTTGAAATCATACTTTCTGGAAAAGTGCTACCACAAGTGCCACCCAAAAAGATCAATAAATGAGAGAAAAAAAAAAAAACTCAACTCATTTGCAGTTACACCACATTTGATACAGGTTGGTAGCCTGCAAGAAATATACTTGCCAAGTCTTGCCCAGACTTGCATGTGACCCCTGCTGAGGGTTTCACTTTGATTCTTTTAGCCACTTTTGAAATCTTATAGCAGACTTTAAAACAGCACTAAGTTTAGGGTATACCACATTAAGCATAGTTCTATCCTAAATATAAGGTAGTGTACTAATGAAAGTATTTAAGAAATTTGGCAGACTAGATGGGCCAAACTGTTCTCATCTGCTGAAAACATTCTGTTTTGTGATCAGCATTTGACCAGTGGAAAGAGGGACCCCTGGTGGTCAAGACTTACTACAAAGTTTAGTCAACAACAGTTGTGTGCATATGTAGTGCCAAGGAATTTGGCTGAGGATTCTATTTGTATAAAACTTACTGGATGATTGTTTTTGGGACTACTTTTAAATGCCTCTTTTTAAGCTGTGCCTTATTCCTTGAAACCTCCCCTTAGGCTGAGTCCAGATAGAAAGGATGTCTCATGTAAATACATTTTTAGTTAACCTACACTACCGATAGTATTGAAACTTACCCAAGAGTTCTTTTGGTCGTAATTTGTATTAAATCTGTATAATGCGGAGAACAGTTTGCTGAAATTGATTAATCCCACAAATCTTTACTGCATGTGTATTTAGGGGTAGCCTGAATGGACCACTCAAATCCCTATAACTTGTCAGTGTATCAGTTTATGGCGTGAGGTACTGGGCACATGACAATTGTCAAATATTTTAACCCTAAAGAGATCTGGCACCAGCCAGTTTGACTCTTGCCTCTGATGGTATTTGAGGCATTACCATGTTACAACCAAGATCTGTCTAGTGCCAAAGCTTTTTTTTTTTTAAACAGGTAGTTTTAGAGTTGTGCCCCTTCAGAGGTTTTCATACTGGCTTAGTTTGTCAAACCACCAGCTTTGTATAACTGGTGCCCATTAAAGCCGTTTTCACCAAAGAAACACATAACATGTTCATGTAAACCATAGTTTTAATTAAACTTATTCAGAACAAGTGCTGCACTGAAGAGCTTGGCAGTTACAAGGACAAGTGAAAAGTAAAGCATTAAACTGCAACAACCAGCTTTCTAAGCACATCCAGAGAGCTCCTTACAAGGCATAAATGCAGGTAAGACACTAGGTGAAATTGAAAAGTTACTGAAGTAACAAGCATCACAGCAGAAAAGGTGAATGCTGAACAAGCATTGTGTTAACAGTTATGAAGACTTGCTAAGTGCCACTGCAGAAAAACGAACTTCCCCTTTCTCTCGTTCAATAAACTGCTTGCAGATTTTGGCTGTATCCTACAAGAAATGAAACAGTTTAAGGTTTGTGAATGCATGCAGATCCAGTTAATCTGTTCAAAGTAAAGCTTTTACATCATAGATTGATATACTAAATCTAATTGGCCATTTTGGCCCAACTTTAATGTTCTCCATTTGACTATTTTGTCAAAGTTTGAATTCCAACTCTACACATGAGAATAACCAAGTGTGGATCCCATGGACAGTTTTGCAAAGGTATACAGTTATTGAAGGCTTACATTTTACTGATTGCACACTAGTTACTAGATGAGTGCATTTTGTCTGTTATTTAGCTGCAGACAGGATATATTTTCATGCCTTCTAGTCATGGTATGTTTTCCAAATTCCTGAATCTAGCCATATCAAAACTGGGGCTAAAATACTTTTGTATATTCTGACAGTGGTATAGAACTTTTTTCAGTGCCAACTGTTAGAAAGGCCAATAGTTTCAACTAAAAAAAAAATAAAAAATTGAAGGTATAGTACTCTTCTCCTCCCCTGCCCCTATATGATACATATTAGCTTACCTTCAGAAAAGATGCTCCAGAAGTAGTGCCATGGTCCACTGGAAATGGCATTTTACCATCTACAAAAAAAAACTCAAAAGTTTTTGAAGTCAGCAGCTACATTTTTAGATTTAGTCAGGCTGTGGCTTGTGCCAGTATTTGCAGCATTTAGTGTATCAAGTTTGTAATGCACATTAAATAAATTGCAAGTTTTAGCATTAACTCACCAAGCTCATAAAGGTGGCCATCAACCTCAGTGAAGAGTACGAAGTGAAAGCTTACATCATCATTTGCCTGTAGAAGAGGACAAGTGTTAAATTTAGCTGTGCTACTATTGCAAAACATTTACAGTCATTTTATAGCAAGAAAGAGTCAACTCCTTTGTTCTGGACACACCCACTCATAAGACTACCTACTTATATTAAAACAATTTTAATATGTAGTCCTTGTGTTTTGCCATTTTAATTTAGGGGTTTATTTGAATGCAGGACGGTGCAAAGATTTTTGCCACCCCTAGGCAAAAAAGTTTGCAGTGTGTGCAAACACTGACATACACAAATTGACCAAGGCTTGAGTCCTCTTTAGTGAGGAGTAGAGGATGTTATGAATGCCCGTATTTAGTAAGCCCACGCAAGCTATAGAATAGTTTAAAGGACCACTATAGTGCCAGGAACACACTTGTCCCCCTCACCCTCTGGTTAATCCCTTCCTATCGGCTGAATGCACGGCCTGATTCTCAATGCTTTCCTATGGACGCTTGAGTCTCCCTGAAAATCAGTGATAAGTGTGTCTAGTGGCTGGATTAACCTGTTTGTAAACATAGCAGTTTCTCTGAAACTGCTATGTTTACAGCAGAAAGGGTTAATCCTAGATGGACCTGGCACCCAGACCACTTCATTAAGCTGAAGTGGTCTGGGTGCCTAGAGTGTCCCTTTAAAGGGAAGGCTTCCCTGACTCATTACTATTCACCAGTGTCTAATTGGCAAGCGGAAATGGAGATGGCTTTATGATAAGCCACTTCATAAATTTCACAGACTGTTAGAAAGTATGTTGTCCAAAGGCAGTAGCTACATTTGTTATGTACAGAGAATTCATGTATAAAAGGAACGCACCAATTCTGTAATTTAGAGAACCCATTCTGGCTATAAACAGTCACCCTAAGACAAAGGCATCCAGCAATTACTGAATAAGGAACAAACATTTTGCTAAAATCTTAACACCATTTGTCAAGTTAAATGTATTGGGTTTTACCAAGATTGAAATGTGGTGATACTTGATAGACTAAGTATTAATACATGTGACTGACCTTTCTAGTGAAATAATCACTAGAATCCATAACAGATCCCCACTCATGAGGAAGACATCTGATTTATTCTTAATGTTGAAGTTAATCTTTTGAAGAACCAAATATTGGACATTGTAAGAGGAGGCTGACACTGACCCATGCAAACACATTGACCCATCAAGATACACTGACTTAAGCAGACTTACATATTGCAAGGTCCCTTCTTACCTACATGGAATATCACTTTGCAGTTCATGTGTTAGTCAGTCCCAGCTGTATTTCTTGTTATGCTCCCATCCACTTGTCCCCATGTGCAGGGCAAGGGGTGGAAGTGAGCAGATGACATGCCCTTGCAGTGCTGCCCTATTAGATGTCTGGGAGGTGGTGATTGTTTTGCAAGCTGAGAAGGATGCCTGTGCTATACCAGGTGCTAGTCAGTAGCTAGGTAAGTGCTCCTAGCGCCCGGTTACATGGCTGGCAGCATGCTGTAGATCAGTCTAACAGAAGGTCAGCTAAACAGCAGTAAAACCCTGCCAGTAACACCAGTGCTCCCTTTTAAAAGGCCCTGTTTGAAGGCAAGGTGTATGTAGTATTGCAGCAATGCCATTTGACTTCAGGGGTGTATTTGTGACTGTCTACATTCCAGTATTAATGTGCAAATATGTCACAAGCAAGTCAAGTTTGAGCTACCCTCCTGTTTCCTTACCTTTAGAACAGGGGTTCTCAACGTTAGTCCTCAGGACCCCCTACCAGTCCAGGGTTTAGGAATTACCTGGGTGTGTCTAAGGTGTTAAAACAAAACACCTTAGAGTCTAAGGTGTTTTTCCCTTTTTCTAAACACCTGAGACACCCAGGTAATCCCCAAATCCTGGACTTGTAGGGGGTCCTGAGGACTGGGTTGAGAACCCCTGCTTTAGAATAAGGGAGGGAGGCTTGCCTGGTGTCTAGTGGGGCTGTCTGACCAAGACTGGAAGGAGTCAGGTTCCAGGTTTCCCTTGTGTGCCTGCCTCCCTGCTCAGCTATACACTAACTGGAAGGAAGTGACCTGAACTCATTTTCTCCAAGCAGCCTCTGGAGTCACACATTACAGAGGCTGGGTCCTGTGTGCCATTAACTGAAAACTGATCCAAGAACACTCCCACAGACTGCATGTTAGACATCCTGACCTGGAGCGTCCTGTCCAACTACCACTAGAGAAATATCTAAACAATTACAGCTATTCCAGGAGGATTTAAAGGCATAGTGTCAAGATTTATCAGTCACCACTTATTAACCTACACCATTTAGTATATACAGTAAACATGCACATGTCCCCTGGGGTATATGAAAAATGCTTGCAAAAGCTGTCAAACTGCACCTGAGGTCCCCTATTTGGAGTTAAATGTCCATACTTCTAAAATCATATCAGGATTAAAGCTGTATTGTTTGTGGACACCTCAGCTTACACTGCCAGTTGATACTCTAAAGTGGAATTATACTTCTGTATGATGGCAACTCTGAATCTTTTCAGACTGGAAGGACTGACTTTCCTTACCGTTTAAGGCAACCAAACGGTCAAACTTAAATGCTTGATTAAGTGTGGCAATGGACTGCAGCATACTTTAGTGGTTACAGTACCCAGAGCAAGTACAGTCAAACCTCAGCATCTCAGATGTTTTTACTATATCTCCCATGATGCTTTGCCAGCATTATGGAGATTTAGTCAACACCGGGAGTGCTGAAGACTGCCTGCCCTGGCCTCAAGTAAGATTCACAAGCCATAGCGTGCTTTGGCACACAAGTTAATTTGACACCAAGCCCCAAGACAAGTTTTGCGAGGTTTTTTGGTGTATAG